GGAGAAGCAGGCTTCCCACGGAGCAGGGAGCCCGATGCAGGGCTCGATCCCAGGACCCTGGGATCATGACCTGAGCCGAAGGCAGACGCTTAACGGCTGAGCCACCCATGTGCCCCGAAGATGTTTTTAAATAAGAAACCAGAGTGCCAATTTATTTATAGACTTTCTGAACTATACTTGTGAAGTAAAACTGAATAATGCTATCCAATGGTCAGTGCATTCTCGCCATCAAAACATCTGTGTAAGAAGCCAAGGAGCAATGTAGGTAAATGCTTGGAATTAAAACAAGGAGGAGCCAGATGGATAATATTAATGCCGGCTGTCATTGGTTATTATGCTATGGTGACCTACACTTACCCACATTATATATGAACTATAAGAATGAACCCAGAATGCCATGATTCCATATTAATGCCAGATGTCATTGGTTATTATGCTATGGTGACCTTCTACACTTACCCACATTATATAAGAATGAACTGGAATGCAGTGATTCCATAATCAGGTCATTCATTTTACCTGATTGTACTGACTGTTTTTTCATTATGATTTTTATGTATTTATCCCCAAAATGCAAATATTTCAAATACAAAGATTTATGGAAAATTTACCTAAGTTTTTTATTTTAATTTGAGCAGACTATTGAAACTTTTTTTGTGTATATTTATGTGTAAATTTTTTTCATCCTTTTTTATTCTATATACATTTTAAGTATTTATAAAAGATGCTTTCAAAATGAATTTGTTTATAAGCCATAAAATAAACCTATTTTATAACTAATTTTTCTCTCAGATTAGGTCAAGACCAAGTCGTGTTTCATTCATTCTGACCCTCTGGAGCTGTAAAATGATTCCTCTTCCAGGAATGAGCATCCAGGTTCTCAGTAGACACGTACGCCTCTGTCTATTTGATGGTAATAAGGTGAGCTTACTGAGGAGTAAATCAGTTCACATCAGTCTGGAAAAATATTTTGTTAAGGCCACATGTTAAACATGTACTGCCTGGGGTATGTCTATGTCTTTGTCTCTCTCTCTCTCTGTATGCATGTGTATACGTATAAAATAATATGTGATAGAATGCAGACCGTAAGGGTTCTGATGACATAGGCTTAATTCCTGGCTCTTTCAGTTGCTAAGAGCATGATGTTCATATATATATCACAGTTAACTCCTCTAAAGCCTTAGATTTCTCACTTACAAAAAAGGTACTGATGCCTATCTTCTAGTATTGTATATAGTTCACATCTTGAGTGTACAGAATCTAAAGAATCTAAATGAAAGAATCTAAATGACTCTTAAAGAATTGATTTGTTTGTGAGATACAGCTTAAATACAGTGCTTAGCTGGAAATTTGTAGCTTTAACTGAAGAGCCAAAAAGAAAGATTTAAAATCAGTGATCTAAGCTACCAACTCAAGAGGCTAGAAAAGGAAGAGTGAGTTAAACCAGAAGAAAGTAAGATGGAGGAACTATTAGAGATAAGAGTGGAATTCAATGAAAAAAAAAAACCATTAAACTTAAACAAAACAAACCTAAATTTAAAATGCCAAAAAAGAGTAGAATTTAATGAAATAGAAAACAGATGAACAAAAGAGAAAATCAAAAAAGCAAAAGTTTATCCTTTGAAAAGTTTACTAAATTGAAAAATGCCTAGTAACACTGATAAAAGAGAAAAAGAGAAAAAGAAAACAAATGATCAGTATCTGACATGAAAATGGAGATCTCACCACAGATCTACAGACATTAAAAGGATGATAAAGGGATATCATAAACATCCTTATGCCAATAAATTGACAATGTAGATAAATAGATAAATGCCTTGAAAATCATAATTTATCAAAACTGACATAAGAAGAAATAGGAAAGTTGTAAACTCTGTTTAAAAAAAATTGAAAATGTAATTAAAAATCTTCCAACAAAGAAAACTCTAGGCCCATATGGCTTCACTGGTGAATTTCTCTATACATTTAAGCAAGAAATAATAGCAATAGTACATAAACTCTTCCAAAGAACAGATAAAGAGGAAATGCTTCCCAACTCATTTTATAAGGCCAGGAAAAACATGATACCAAAACATGACAAGACATTACAAAAAAGAGAAATTACAAGACCAGTATCCATCATGAATAGTGACACTAAAATCCTAAACAAAGTATTAACAAATTGAATCTAGCAATATATAAAAAGGATAATGTATCATGACTAATTGGAGTTTATTTTAGGAATTCAGTTGTACACACCTGTGTAACCAACATTTAACACTTGAAAATAGATCATTGTAATTTGCCATATTAACAGAACTAAAGTAGAAAAGTCATGTGATCATCTCAAAAGATATAGAAAAAGCATTTGACAAATTTCAACACCCATTCATGATTTTTAAAAAATTCTCAGCAGAGTAGGAACAGAAGGGAACCTCCTCAAATTGGTAAAGGGCGATAAGAGAAAGCTAAAGCTGACATCATCATACTTCCTGGTGAAATTTTGAATACTTTCCCCCAAAGATCAGGAACAGATCAAGGATGTCCAAGAAAAAAAAGATAACTCAGTTTTTTAAGTTGGCAGAAGACTTGAGCGGACACTTAAACAAATATATCAAAAACCAAGAGACATAAAAAGATATATATAACATATAAGAAGTCCTCAGGGAAATGCAAGTTAAAACCACAGTGAGAGGGCGCCTGGGTGGCTCAGTTGTTAAGCATCTGCCTTTGGCTCAGGTCATGATCCCAGGGTCCTGGGATCGAGTCCCACATTGGGCTTCCTGCTTGGCAGGAAGCCTGCTTCTCCCTCTCCCACTCCCCCTGCTTGTGTTCCTGCTCTTGCTATCTCTCTCTCTGTCAAATAAATAAATAAAA